AGTATATCTCGTGACTACCTTTCGTATGCCTATTTGGGGCGGTCGAGTAGCCTAGTGGTAAAAGCGTTCGCTTGTCACGCCGAAGATCCGGGTTCGATTCCCGACGTGGGTACAATGGGTGAAGCCCATTTCTGGTATCCCCGCCTTGATATTGCAAGGATATTGCTAAAAGCGACGTAAAACTATACTCACTGACTTACTAATGTCCATCGCAGGTCTTTTTTTCACATGAAGCCTTGTGTCCTGTGAGAAATACAGAGGTACGTGTGCCCCCCATGCAGAACATGCACACATTTATAGGCAAACATGTATTTGCTGATACAACCGACCTCCGACCTCCGACATCAAGCCGAAGATCCGGGTTCGATTTCCAACAAAGTAACAATCTGTAATGCCCATTTTCTGGTGTCTCCCGCCCTGGTATTGCTGGAATATTTCCATAAGCGGCGTAAAATCATATTCACCAACTCTCTGACTCAAATGTAACATTCGCCTGGCAGACATCGCAATCCGATAATCACGTTGAACATTTGTCGACACAGTTTGCTGACACAGGTACAAAAAACTGTGGAATCCGGGTAAGAACATAGGTCCCCAGCAACCTGTGCTTGTCGCAAGAGGTGACCAAATGGATCAAGGGTCGGGCGAGGTGCCTTGGTTAATTACGTGTCATCATATCCACATTACGTGGATCCATCCGGGGTAGAATAGGTCTTCAGCAACCCATGCTTGCCGTGATAGGCGACTAACGGGAACGGGTGGTCAGGCTCGCTGACTTGGTTGATGCATGTCATCATAACCTAACTGTGTGGATCGATGCTCATGATGTCAATCCCTGGATGGTCTGGTCTAGACTCGATTATTTACAGACCGCCGTCATTCAGTTGGAGTGCGGCGTTAAACAACATTCAAACAAACAAACAAACAAACAAACAAACAAACAAACAAACGTGGATCTTCGCTCATCACTTGATTGTTTTGTCCACAAAACAAAGGAATAATCCACTGTCATTATTGATGATGTGAACAGAACCATGTTCGTTTTGCACTAAATTTGAAAAGGCGCTGCAGACAGGACTTATAAACCTCGCATGACGTCACACCACAGTAGCAAAAGGTCCTTCAAAATGTTGGTAAGCTTCCAAGCCAGGCAATATCAACAATGCCCCGGGCGTTCCGGTGGAACGGTTCATAAGTTGGATAATACATGCCTCCTCGGTTTTGGTTGCAAATGTAAAACATTGAGCTCGGGCTTTTCCCTCGCTCGCGGTTTTAGCTTTCAACCCAGATCGAGGAGGCGTGTTTTATCCTGTACTTACAACGCAGTTTCATGACATTCCCAGGTGGCCTACCTTGATGATGACGGAAAGCATGCCCGCAAACATCACGACAGCCTGAAAGACATCAGTCCAGATGACCGCTTTCAGTCCGCCCTGCAAAAAACACACCCGTTCCAGTAACATTACTCATAAGGATTAGGTCGATCCTGGTTCATACAATTTAAGATTAATGCTACTTCTCAGATATATTCAACTATTATTAAATTACAATTATTTCTAAAGGTTGTTCCATGTTTTGGCGTTTATAACATTTCAATTTGCCCCTTTTTGGATAAAATACTTTAATGGACAGGTAAACCCTGATTTGAAAAACATTGCTCTTGGTTCGTCAAAATGAACCGGTTGTGTTGAAAGTTTTACCCACAAGAAATAACATGTATAAATAAAATAGGATTGACGTATTGATAATTATTTAAGAATTAGTGGTCATTTCTCACCATGGCTGTGTATAAAATAGCGGCAGCTGCAACCAGGAAGATGGACCCTGTTTGGGGAAATCCCGTCACTATAAATAGAACAAGATTTTTTTCCTTCAAGACTTTACAACTGTCCAGTCTAGGTGCCGGTACGTTATTTTGGCGCGGACAACGTATGCTTGCTACCTTATCTTAGAGATGGCAGGGTCGAAACAAGCATTGTAGCAGAAAAGAAATTGTTTACACCTTGGAAAAAAGCATATTTTTTTACACATAAAAAAACACAATTTGTTTATAAGTACTAGTAAACCTCATTTTTTTCTATCTTCGCAGTGGATTATTCATTCATTACATTTATTGTCTAACATGAAAATCGGAAACATACTTTAGGATTTTAGTGGTCGATGTTTTGTGACGCGAGCCAACCCTGCTCTCAAAATTATTCTAATTATAACGATAGGTCGGCTCGCGTTAAAATATGAAAATATACATAACCATCACATACTGTAATAACACACATAAGTAATATTATCGATTCGCATTAATGTATCATTTGTCATCGTAGAGGTTTCTTGAATGAAAGTCGTAAATCTGTTGATGAACACACACACAAATAATATATATATATATATATATATATATATATATATATATATATATATATATATATATATGCAATAATCTTGGACGCGACGTTAACCGTATTTCACCTCACCTCACATGTTTGATTCCAGTACGATAACTATTTACGTGATGATCTGACAACCCCCCAAAAGACGGTAGCCAAAATGTGATCGCCCAGTTTAAATAAATGACACGTGGGTTCTTGAGCCAATCAGACGTCAACCATATAGCACGATTCGGCTTCATTTCTTTATCATCTCGATTCGGAAATTAATTTTAAGAAAAGACATTTCATATTGAACACAACTGTTCCAAATAGTGTACTCTCTCTTGAGTGTAGATGACATGACACTCGACAGAGTGTATGAACTATCAAAAACAATGTAATGGTGCGGCCTTTATTATTTACATTCGGAACTGATGGTTTTACTTTCTTTGCGAGATACACAATGCAGGTCTCATACCGAGATTCGATGCGGATTGGCTGATCAGAAAGATTTCCTGACGCGTCTAAGCTAGTTCCGCTGTATAAATCTGAACTTACCTCGTAAGCGCTTGTAAGTTTCAGGGGATGAATCAGTGGGATCATCAACACCCTGCATATCAGAAATGCCGCCATGAAACCAAAAAGAGCTATAAAAAGCTGAGCTCCATACACGTATACTTCTGCCGGATAGCCCAGCATCATGATCGACGACTCAAACGACACCATGAGCGACACAGCGACGGGGAGAAACTTCATGGCACGTCCTCCGACCAGAAACTCGGATGTTGTTCGCTGACGTCCGCCAGACATGGCAAAGTAAAGTCCTATGCCCAGCGAGATGAGGATGGTGGCGCCGAACACCACGTAGTCGACGATGTGGAAGCTGTGTCTGCTGGCCATTTTAATTCGTTTCTCTTGCTATCGATCCAAGTGAGTCTTTGCAAGGGATGAGTCTTGTGATGCTTGGATGCGTTTATTATGCGTTGGAAACGTTTGTGATGCTCAGTGAAATCTGGGGATGCCTGACAATCTCTTGGGACGGGTATGCCTGTCTTGGAATGCGTTGGGATGTATTGGGATGCGCTTAAAGGCCTTGAGAAAACAAGGTCTTGCGGTGTCTAGGAATGTCTTGGGGTTTTCGAAAATTCTTGAAATATATGGAAAGGTCTTTGGATGCTAAGGTAAGAAGGCAATCTGAAGATTTGATACCATCGGTTGTGGACTTCAATGTGTTGAGAACACTCTTGCCATCTCTGGACGATGTCGTTCCTCTGTGCTACGTTGCATAAGATGCCCTTGTCACTCTCTGTTGGGATTAAAACACAAATATATTAGCATACGTGTACACAATGTACCTTTACCTACATCATACATCGTTTTCTATAAGCTATGGAGAATTTAGGTGAGTATGGTTGAGTATGGATAAGTATTCGCAAATTAGATGACATCCAAAGTAACAGTATATTCGTCTTTTAAATAATTAGACATGCATTGTCGGGCCTTAAAGCGGAGTACAGGAAGCTAAACACGCCAACCTCAGTTCTGCACCAAATGGCAATTGAAAATATTTATGGTAACGTTCAGGATTAGTAATGGTGCTAAATAAACAAGATTAATATTTGGAAAAATATGGTCAGTTTTAATTATTGGGTGGATGTCGATTTTAAAACAATCCATCAAAATCTCACACAGTATTATCAAATCATGGCGGCAATGACTGCACTGCACGCTCCATGTTTAAAGCAGTTGCCGTCACAACTAATTGTAATGGACCATGTAGAAGCACGGTTGTCGGCCCTATCATCTGGCGTGTAATCGCAACTTTGTCACACTTTGGGGTAAAGCAGTACGTCGTACAAATAGCAAACTAAATGTTATAGATTGTAACAGTAAAATCAGTATCCGTTACACATTCGTCAACCCGTGACGGCCCGGTGTAGAAAAGTTCTTCAGCAACCTTTGCTTGCCGTAAAAAGGCGGGGCTGAATTATTTATCAACATATACAGCAACAGAAGCTAAAAGGATTATTGTCTGGTGTACCCGTGAATATGTAACAAATAAATCATTTAAAACATGCATTTCCTAAAGAAATAATAATGTTGTCTTCAATGAAAATAATAAAATAGCATCAAATGCGATCTAGTTGATTTTATATAAAATAGTTTTCAATGTCAAAGTAAAAAAAAGAAATCCATTTAATATTTTTAGGTATTGAACCCCAAAATATCATATCCCTCCTGACAGAAGTAGAAATGCATATTCAGGAATAACCCCAAAATCACGGTCTAAAAAGTTGAAAATACAAATCATTATCTGATTATGTTATGCAAGACACAAACTAGATTTAAAACACATAAAAAGTATGCATTATAGAACTAAAGAAATATTAAACCCCATCGGACAGAAGGGACAAATGCATATTTTGAAATAGCCATCGGATGTGTCCAAAGGGAAAATGCATATTTTGGAATTACCAAATAAACCCCACTCTTGGAAGATTTAAATGAAATGTGTATCTTAATGAGCGTGAACATCTTTCAATATCAGAAGAAACATTTACAATATGTTAATTATAAGAAACCACAACGGTAAAGATTTAGTTGAATCATACAACAGAAACAGACGCATACTACCTCTGTCCAAATGAGTGTTTCTTATGACCGGTGCCACACATCTGTGCCTCGGGAATTAACGCTTCTGTCTCGTCATAGTGATTTGAATGAAATATTTGCATATTTGAATGCATTAACCTGCTATAGCGGTCGCTAACATGCCGATCAGATGACATAGGATATTGTTGTGGGAATTGCAAAGAATCACTAACGAGGAATTACCAATATTATATACATCTAAAAACAGCATAACACAGTTCATACTCAACTAGTAATATTCTGTTGTTTTACATCTCAACACCCGCCATGTTAAATCACACTCGCTGGTTCCATGCTCACGAATTACCTGATACTCGTGACTGAATATATCACCCGAACTTTCTAAAGCATTTTAATTCCCGACATGGGTACAATGTGTGAAGCCCATTTCTGGTGCTCCCCGCCGTGATATTGATGAAAGTGGCGTAAAACCATAGTCACTCACTAAAGCATTTTAATTTCTATAATTGTACATATGTACGTCATGATTATGATATTGAGATAACCGTTATTATTATCGATAATTTGCAGTTGAATATGTTAACAATTATAATAATTTTGAATATTTTCATTGTGTATGCTGTCTTATTTGAGGTGAACATCCCACTATATATAGTTCCGTACCGAGTTATCTACATGTCTATTTGTATAATAGTGTACTCATATGGTAGACAAAAAGTTTTATTTTCACACAGATGGTAATCATGTTAAACCAAGGACGAGACAAAATCAGATTAGTATTAATGCAAGTTTGTACTGAATGAAACACTACTTCCTGGAATGTACATAGTCGTTCTGGGTGTGATATGTATAACATGTGTTATTTAACTCCGTTGTATATGAGCCTGTGGCCTTTCAAACAACACAGAATTGAATTGAATTGAACGTTGATGACAATGCAGTTAACAAGTGGTTCATTGTTGGATGATGATATTAGCCACTAGCAATATCAGACGTGCCACTGTGCACGACCAACCAGCACACTGGCACAAGCCCTGGGTTAATATACTGGAGTGTATTAGTCAGGCACAGAATCAACTACAATTTATAGTCGATTACAGAATAATTACAATCTCTTTAGAATAATATCTTAGCTCTCGCTGCCGCTAAACAAAAGTGTAAGGACATTCCGTTGCAGGTCTCGTCAGAACGACTTTTTGCGAACTATGGCCGACCAATGAATGACAAAAAGTCAACATTAGCCAATCAGAAACCAGTTTTCTGTTGTTATAAAGGCTTTTGATTCGAACTGGCTGCTTCCATTCAAGACTACGCTTTGAAAAAAGAAACTTTGACAAAGTTCTCGATTCAAGATTTGAAAACAGATCTAAAGAACGTTCTGGAACGTTCAAGATTTTAAAACAGATCTACAGAAGGTTCTGGAACGTTCAAGATTTTAAAACAGATCTAAAGAACGTTCTGGAACGTTCAATATTCAAAACAGATCTAAAGAACGTTCTGAAACGTTATATATTTTAAAACAGATATAAAGAACGTTCTGAAACGTTAAATATTTTAAAAAAGATATAAAGAACGTTCTGAAACGTTCAATATTTTAAAACAGATCTACAGAATGTTCTGGAACGTTCAAGATTTTAAAACAGATCTAAAGAACGTTCTGGAACGTTCAAGATTTTAAAACAGATCTAAAGAACGTTCTGGAACGTTCAATATTCAAAACAGATCTAAAGAACGTTCTGAAACGTTATATATTTTAAAACAGATATAAAGAACGTTCTGAAACGTTAAATATTTTAAAAAAGATATAAAGAACGTTCTGAAACGTTCAATATTTTAAAACAGATCTACAGAATGTTCTGGAACGTTCAAGATTTTAAAACAGATCTAAAGAACGTTCTGGAACGTTCAATATTTTAAAACAGATCTAAGGGACGTTCTGGAACGTTCAATATTCAAAACAGATCTAAAGAACGTTCTGAAACGTTATATATTTTAAAACAGATATAAAGAACGTTCTGAAACGTTAAATATTTTAAAAAAGACATAAAGAACGTTCTGAAACGTTCAATATTTTAAAACAGATCTACAGAATGTTCTGGAACGTTCAAGATTTTAAAACAGATCTAAAGAACGTTCTGGAACGTTCAATATTTTAAAACAGATCTAAGGGACGTTCTGGAATGTATAACAGATAGCGGAGATTGTATGGCTGTACTTCCCAATGGCTGTGCAAAGTCTGTTCCGTTCAAATGTTTATCCCATTGTAGCGAGAGCTAGACGATGAGTTTGACGGAATCAGTCGTACAGCACGTAACTGTCGTTCGGAATACCCCGTGTTAAACTTTTCGGGGTTCCTATATCACGGCGGGGGACACCAGAAATGGGCTTCACACATTGTACCCATGTCGGGAATCGAACCCGGGTCTTCGGCGTGACGAGCGAACGCTTTAACCACTAGGCTACCCGACCGCCCCTTCACAAAAGTAGACATTCACACAAGTGTAGTATATGTGAAGCATGAAATTTAAAAAGTAAAAAATGCATCAAGATCTTACCGTATAGTATCTGGTTGTAGCCACATTGTCGAAATGGTCAGTGTACCTTCAGGACTTTCTACATAAAGATAGTGCACGCTGCTTACTTGTGTGAATAATAGTTGATTTGTCAGCCACAGAGTTATGTGTGACTGAGCTATCGCGGTTGGTCTAATTTTCTGATTATATTGTCAATGATGTTGTTATAACTTTGGTTACACTTGCATAACTGAACTTGACCGAGGCACTCTTAAGCTTGATAAAGGTGTTTACGGGTTCGGTTCAGGTTGAAGAAGGAATGCTGACCAGTATACGCGTGTAGGCGTGGTACACGGGATTATTAGTTTAGACTGATAAGGGGTTAAGTCTTAAATTTGTTTGCATAACCATGACCAGTATTACAGGCCACACTGGCCGTGAACTATGTCCAAATCGCGTTATCAGTTTGACCCTCAGCATTTGTAAGATATTGGAGCGTTTTCCGTTGGTTTGTTATATTTTACAGTTTATATAATTTCTGAAGACACCCAATTTCTATCATATCTCATGTATCGTTTTAACATTTTGCCCAATTTTCTTGGTCACAATACGTTTGAAGAAAAGCCAGAAAACCCTTCTCATGATCAGAGAAACATCTGTTAACGGAGATTCCATTGTTCGATTCCGAATATTTGATTAGTACATACGTATTAATCACTATCAAACTGTTATGATACCAGGTACTCGCGAAAAGGTGAGCGTATCTCGCTCCGTTGGCATCCGTCACAAACACATGCAAAGATAGCTACAGCCTAAATGTTGCCTCTGATATATTTCAGTAAAAAGAATTAGGTCTTCAGCAACCCATACTTGCCGTAAAAGGCCTCTATGCTTGTCGTAAGAGGCGACGAACGGAATCGAGTGGTCAGGTTCGTTGACTTGGTTGATGCACGTCTTCGTATCCCAATTGCTTGGATCAATGCTCGTGATATCAGTCATTGAATTGTCTGGTCCAGACTCGATTATTTACAGACCGCCGTTGTACAACCGTCATCGCTGAGTGCAGCGTTAAAAACAATCAAATGAACAAACAAACAGTCAATGGCAAGAACAATCGAAATGGAAAATGATAATCATACCAAAGCCCCCGCCCTACCCACTTAAGGAAAATGTTATTTGCAAAATATATATTCGATAAAACAGTACTGCGTTTCCCATCTAAAGGTCGATTCTCATTCATGTCACAAAACGTTGTCCCATCTCCTGCGCATGCACTAATTTTTGCAGAGAGCATGTGCTTGGAATACATCACGGCATGGAGTTGTATTAATGTGTAATCACACCAATCAAATCATGAACCGAGTGGAGGTAGCTTGTCTGATTTTGTGGTCCAGACTTGATATTTTACAGATCGCCGTCAAGTAGCTGGAATTTTGCTGAGTGAGGCGTTAGACAACAAACAAACAATACCATGTCTATTTTCGAAACCTCAAAGGATTTGCTTCAATTCTGTTAAAGTAATTTCTTCACCTCTATCCCACATAACAAACTTAAGGAAAAACCTGATTCCGTGACCCATGGGGCTTTTGTTGCAAAACGCAGTGACCAGAGATACAGTCACATATCTATCTTCAGAGGTTCAGGGTAATTTTTCAAATTGAAAGTAAATAACATCTAATGTTTACTGAGAAAAACATTTGTGAAATGCTAGACTTCCTCTTTGATAATTTCTCTGTAAAATGTAGGGGTGAGACATTTAGGCAAGAAGTAGGCATCCCTATGGTGACCTATTGTGTTCCGCTTCTTGCTGATCTGTTGCTTTATGCATATGAATCGGAATATCTGCTCGGTTTGGCAAAGGCAAAACAAGGTAATCTGACTAAGACTTTTAACTTAAACCTGCAGTGAAAGCATGTTCGGATTACGGATTGCGTGGCTGATACGATTGCTACTCCCTTGTTGTCAGCCATGTTTTCTGATATACCCCTACACTTGTGTATTTGTTAGTCATTCACTTGATGCTCAGTTAATGAATTTATTACAGGTATAACTAGTGGTAGCACCGCTCAGATTAGCGGGTAAATAATCCTATTTTGCATTTCTTGTGTCTGGGGTAGTTATTCATTATCTAAATTCAGGTTTGAAGTGAGGTCAAATGTGTGTTTTGTAATATGCACGTGGCAGCCAAGCAAGAGATGAATTGAATGTAAATCAACGGATCATTCCTAGCCATCAAAGAATCAACAGAACATACGTTGATTGATTAATCGCTGTTATCTTGCACAGTGGATATGTCAAAAGTAAGTTTTTAATTGTCCAGGTTTACTAAAGCAAAAGGAATACACTCATATCATGGCGTGATATGCCGATGTAAAAACAACATACTATGTTCAAAGGTTAACCGATAATACGTTGATTGATCGCTCATTGTTATCTAACTCAAGGGATTTTTTAAGAACCGTGGATATTATGAAAATAGTTGTCATGTGGGCTTCTCAGCTGACCTTTGGGACTTGAAACCTATGTGAAACAACTGAAAAAAAACAAGTGGTCAGTTGAGAAACGAACAC